CACCAGCACAGTCAGATGCCACCATCTTGATTCAAGCTCAGGCACCAGCAGTTTTACCCACCCACAATCAGCGCAACTGTCAACATGGGGAAAACGCCAATAACTAACATCTTCTATTATTATGAAAACAGTGTCACCTCAGGGACCCAAGAGAGCACCGAGCACACGGTGAGAACAGCTAGGCTGCACCATCAGAATCGTTCAGTTGGTGGTTGACCACCACCCGCCTCATCTTCTCCATACATTTTGTTTCAGCCTCCATGGCCTCTCAGCAGGATTTTTCCAGTGGAGACACTGTGATACAGTTTTGCCTGTCTGTTTTTACCTGGGCTGTGTTTCTCAGATTCTGCTTCCTCTGTTGGAGCCCTGTAACTATGTCTCTTCACGCAAGCCTTTTAATCAAGCCCCAGTTTCCTCATCAATCACACATAGATAACGATCTCTACTACTGAGCCTTAAAAGACATAATCTATGTGGAAGCCCTTGGTGAATGATTCATTTTTTTCATCAGTACATTTTTATTGAATCCCTATTGTGTGCCAAGCACTGTCCTCTATGCCAGCAGAAACAAGGTCCTTGTTTTATGATTAAAAAGCTCACTTCTGGGGGTCAGGGTATAAAGAAAAATATCACAGACATAAAGAGTGATCATGAGCAACTGGGGAGCTGCTTAAGATGGGGTGATCAGGAAAGGAAGTGACCTAGGCGCTGGGTGCAAACTACAAGAAGGAGCCAAGTATGCAAAGGTCAGATAGAAGAGCATTCCAGGCCTTTCCATCCAAGAAGCAGAAAAGGCAGGCAGGGCCAGATCATGAAGCTTTGTGAACCAGGGTGGAGTTTGTGTTCTACTCCAAGCGGCCTGGTAAGTAATGGAATCTGATTTACACTTTAACAAGCTCCCTCTGACCAATACGTGAAGAATCGATTGCAGGACAAGAGTAGACACAGGAAGACCAGTCAGGACACGATTCTAGCTATCCAGATGAAAGATGGTAGTTGCCTGGACTGGGCTCACATCAGTGGAGACAAAATGAGGTGGTCCGATATAAGATACAATTTGGAGGCAAAGTTGACAGGTTCTGCTGATGACACAGTACAATGAGGAGAGGAAGAAGAAATAATTACAGATAAATTCTAGATTTACAACTTGAACAACTGAGTGGGTGGTGATGACAGTGTGTTGTGATGGAGAAAACCAAGGCAAAGCAGACAATAGGTACCTGAGACAAGAGTCATAGCACATAGACGGCACATAAAACCATGAGACTAGATGAGATCAGCTAGCAAGGGTACACAGAGAAAAGAGAAAGGGCTCCAAGATCAAGTTCTGGAACACTCTACGCTCAGCTGTCAACCAGCAAAGGAGTCTGAGGAGGAGCAGTTAGTGACCTCAGAGGAAGACCTGGAGTTTCAGGAAGACACAGAAGCAAGTGAGGAAAAAGCTGTGTGAATGAGAGAGTGGTCCACCCTGGAATGCTGCTGAGAAGTCGAAAAGATAAGGACAGAGAAGTGACATTTAGATTTAGCAGCAAATGGTGACCTTGTGGAGGGTAGTCTGAGTGGCATGGAAGAGAGCCTAAATGGAGTAGATTGAGAGGATGCAAAGTGAGGAAACAGGAGTAAAGAAGGGTTATAAAGTATTACTATTTCCCCTTGCTCCAAAGACAACCTAAACATTTGACTATCCATATATCAGTTTAATGTATCTACTCGGCTTCCTCCATGGTTTATTCAAATACAGCTACAAAGCAAGGTGACTAAGTCTAAAGACTGGTTTGGGAAATGGCTTCATCATTTTATAGCTACATCTCCTACATACAGGCAGGTATAGTGTCTCTGTCGATGGTTTTCTTTCAGAGCAATAGCTCTCAGCCTTCCCTGATTCCATCCCACATATGTAAGGTAAAGATCCATCTGAGATCAATTATCTCCACATGCCCGCTTTCCGGAAAATGAACTCTGTGATAACTATAAAGTATCACAGTAAAACAAAAATGGCGGAGTTATATACAAATCTGTTTTAGCCATAGGTCTATGAATGATTCACTTTGAACTGTAATTCACATGTCTAGTTATTTGAAAATCACAAGTCAAAAATGCCAGTGAGGCATATACATATTTACTACACACAGAACTAACCAAACAACAAACTTGATAATTTGATAATAACAGTATTAAACTTACAGTAACTTAGTAATTAAAATGCAACAATAGTGGCATCTGAAAACCAGGAATGGTTCAATACCAAGACTGTGGGAATCCCAACCGAGAGTGGGCATGTGCTGTAGTTCTGTGAGGATGCCAAATGCCAAGAGGCAAAAAACTTGGAGTCATCACTCAACTTTGGTAAAGTTGTCAATTTTAGGAACCCTTAACAACTCCACTAAATAGGACAAAAGTAAGTAACTACTGATACATATACAATAAAAGTGTGTGCACTTGGGACTTCCCTGGTGGCACAGTGGTTAAGAATCTGCCTGCCAATGCAGGGGACACAGGTTCGAGCCCTGGTCAGGGAAGATCCCACATGCCGCGGAGCAACTAAGCCCATGTGCCACAACTACTGAACCTGCGCTCTAGAGCCCGTGAGCCACAACTACTGAAGCCCGCGAGCCTACAGCTCGTGCTCCACAACAAGAGAAGCCACCACAATGAGAAGCCTGCGCACCGCAACGAAGAGTAGCCCCCACTCACCACAACTAGAGAAAGCCTGCGTACAGCAACAAAGACCCAACACAGCCAAAAATAAATAAAGAAAATAAATAAATTTATTTTTTTAAAAAAAGTATGTGGACTTGCATATGGATCACAGAAAAAAGCAATGACTGAGTCTGCGTTTAGGGCAGTCAATTGCCCACTGGAAGAAGTAGCCTACACAGGTCCTGGTACAGGACAACCGGGTCCACACCTGTTGCCTTACAACGATGCTGCATCATCTGACTTCTGGAGATCACCTCCAGCACAGGGAAACAGTCTGGCATCATGCCCATGTGCTCAAGAGTCCTAGAATCTTGAAGTCACATATGGGTAACCCACAGGCCAGAGCCAACCCCACAAATGGACTGCTTCGTGTTTTGTAATATCTGAATTAGTTCCAATATTTTAAAATTGGCAAACTTCACATTTAAAAAAATAAAAAAAGTTTTCTGGCTTCTCAAAGAAAAGAGAGAGAGAGGGAGACCTGGCCAGGACCAGCTGCCCCTTGAGCTGCAACCTGTGCTCTTCAGCGCCTCACTGATCTCAGCCTCCAGAAAGTCAGGCACGAGTCAAACCTCAGCTGCCATTTATCTATGAACCTGTGCCATTATTCTCCTTCTGTCTGGCCTGTTTCATTCATTTATGCTACCTTCCAACTCTCAGCATCATTTGGATCTATACCCTTTATCCTAGCATAGTGTGCTGAAAAGGTCCCCTCAGGGTCTAACCAGGGGAAAGAGAATACAAGGATGTCCAGAGGCCAAGCTCTCACAAACTTAACTAAAAATGTTAGCTGCTGATCTTCTTTAAACAACTTGCAAAGGTCGGACACAGCAAACTTTCTCCCCTGGATCTTTCTAAGTCAAAATCTCAGTAATTACTCAGACTCCCAGAACTTTTCTTCCTCTTAATAACCTATGAAGAGCTTATCAGGGAATGTTAATCATTCACCAATTGTTGTAATTAAAAGGTCAAAAATAAATCCATCAATCAGTTTTGAACAGTTTAAGCATGGGTTTAGAGTAGCAAAGGGAACCACATTTCAGAAGAAAAGAAAAAAAAAAGCCCTCCAAATAGAATGGGGAAAAAAAAAGATTACAGTTACTTTTAAAATAAGTCTCTTCATATATGCATAGGAACCACAAAAGCTTTAAACCATATAATTAGTACTAAATATGTCCGTAAGACAGACTTTATACAATCTCTTCCAATGACCATCTCTTTTTAGTCCCTAAACTACTTTTGGATGAAACAAATTTTCCTAATAACAACTGAAGCACAAGTTACTAGTGACTGACTAGCTAGAATTACCACAAGGGTAATCCTATATATGTTCAACATCATACACTAAAAACAACAATCTTATATAAACATATCCATAAACCCAGAGCAAAGCACACTGCATTACACCACCAACTACCCCTCTTAGGCTAAAATGTTCAAATCAATAAAGACAGTCTTGAAGGAGAAAACAAAGCACAAAAAAAAATCCAAAACAAATTATAAGCGTGTATGGGTGAGACGGTCCCACCCTTTTGCTCTGGAGGCCAGGAAATAGATGGTGGTTGATTAAGGACAGGTTTAACAAAATTGACTGTTTTCTTTCCTACTAACTTCTTAAGTCACTATCCACGCTCCAACACCACGAGGACCCCCTACCAGACCCAAGTTCCAACCCATCATACTCTACTATTAGAGAAATTGTCTCCACCTAACAGTATCGCGACACCACATAAAAGTATGAAAGTCTTGATTCAAGACAAACTGTTTAGAAGTCTATGATGAAGTTCACTGTAACTTTAAAATAACTTTGCATTAATTTGTTACTAGCTGAACATTTGCCAGTAATCTTGTTTCCTAGCATACTATATTAGACTTCTGCACTCCACCTAGCTTGGGCAAAAAAAGTAAACTAGCCACTAAGTAGACTAACCACGTTGGGACAAATATTATATCCCAAGTTGTCTTTCCTCTAAGTGTTAACAGTACAAAGTTTAACAGTACAAAGTATATCAAAGAGCATGTAAATAGTTGCAATGCTGTATTTTCTAACTTGCTTAACTTCCATTGTCTGAATTAGAACTTACTTTGAATCTAATTAACACTATCCAGTGAATAACTACTAACCAAAACAGACTTTTCCATTTACAATAAAAATATGGAGTCTGAAATGGTTTGTGCTTTTTGGTTGACTTGCAACATGTGGCTGAGAAAAAATATCGCTGCTCTCCCAAGGACATATTTCTGGCTCTGAACTTGTAAAAGCTATCAAGGTCTAAGAGACGCAGGCTCAATCCACTTACCCGATCCTTCATCCTCCAGCTCTGAGCTAAAGATTTGGAGCCTTCAATTTTCTCACAGTGTCTCTTTTTCATGAAAGCCAAAGGCAGGTTCCAGTCAGTAAGATCAGCCTCATCTTCGTCCCCGAGTCCCAGGAGAGGCGACTGCAGCATCTCGGATTCCATCAGCGGGGGAGGGGGTGGGGGAGTCCTGGGCAGCAAGCGCTCGAGAACCTCCAGCCTTAAAAACTAGTGTGTACCAGAATTGGTGAAATAAAAAACAGAGAAAGGCAAAGTAGAAAAAGAAATGGATGGAGAGTGTGCGGAGATCCTCGCTGAGGCAAGAAGTCTGAGATCCTTCTAACTCTGCGCGAGAAGTCAGAAGGGGTGGGAAGAGCGGTGGGAAATGAGGGAACCCAAGGAGCTCCTCACAGACACACACGCCCCCAGATCCCAAGTCACCGGCTGCTTCTGAGGCTGTCCGTTCCCGGAGGGGCTGCGAGCGGAGCTGTCAAAGGCGTGCGAGATTCCAGGCCTCACGATGACCCTGCTCTCGGTCTCCAACGCCTCAGCCGATCCGAGGACAGGCAGGCCGCCCGCTCTTGGTGCCGGTTTGCCGACTGGGCTGAGGTCTTCGGCCGAGGGGAAGAGGTTCAGAGCGCCTCGGGTCTCCTACAGCCACTTTCAGCCCTGCGGATCTCGCACTCGCCGGAGCTGCTGCAACCAGAGCCAGGACGGGCCCATCGTGCTTGCCCGCAGCCGGCTCCTCAGCCCCGGGTCCGCGCGGCCTGGCCGGTCCTGGTCTCCGGCCCCGTGGCTCTCTCCTGCCTGAGAACGAGTCCTAAGAAACAGGCGACACGGAGCCGCGGAGAAAACGCGTAATGTGGGCTTACTGGGTTTGGGGAGTTTTGCCCTCTGGTTTGAAGCTACAGTGAAACTCCTCTCATCAGCACATCAAGGAGGACGCCATATTGCCAAGACCCAGAATGCAGCGCGATCTACGGCGTGGCTAATAAGCCAAACTTCCTCAGAGTGTCCTGGCCATGCTTCCCAGGAGACAGCGAGAGGCGTCCCTGCCTCCCCGTTACCATCGTTACCACAATTAAGTTTTCTAGAGTTTATGGCAATTGGTATAATAGACGCGTCATATCAAAGTCAGTCCTATAAATGAAACTGTGTTATTTGGAAAAAAGCTTTTTATTATTACAAATGGACCTACATGCTTCTGAAATTAAAGGATTCAACCCCTTCTTTCTTCCAGATTTTGAAAAAGCAGCAAAAGCTTCAGAAAGAACAATTGATAACATTACAAAAGAAGATAGTATTGGGGGGGGCGTAGTATCCTCCACAGTATCAATCAGATTTTCTTTTTTATTTTCAAGGAACACTAAATGAAAAAATTAATTTCGACAATTATATTTTTTGTTTAATCCATCTTATTTTCTGCACCGTTTATTCTTATTATGATAGAGCTTCATGTGCAAACAACTAAACGCTACAGATTTCTATGCGTGGCACGCCTCCTGCCTTACTTTATTGCTGTATTCCATAAACATTGCGTATTTACAGTTTGTGGATAACTATGTCCCGTGCGGAGGGATTATAAACCCCAAGCAGCATGCGGTGCCTGCCTTCAATAAACATAGTGTCTAGTGATACACAGATGTAACCGTTAGATAAAGCCGGGCAGAAGGCAAAGAGGCTCGTCTTCCCCTCTGCATTTAGGTTTTGAGGTCAGGCCCACCTGTATCTGCATCTCAGCTGTATCACTTTCCATGTCTGTGACCTTGGTCAATCCCGTAACTAGTTCAGCCTCAGTTTCCTCAACTATAAAACTGGGTGAATATAATACCCACCTTGAAGGATAAAATTAACCCGTGTAGGTATCTGGTATATAGTGAGTGCCCAATACAATTCCAGCAATGATGCGTCTGTAGCTGGAGCGAGATCTAGCAGCCCTGTGTGCTTTACTAATCTAAAACCTCAGGGTGGGCTCTGGAAGAGACCCTTTTTCTCAGTGTGGTTTCCTAGGGCTTTGACACAATGTGGCAGCCCATATAAGGATCCTGATGGCATTTGTGTTCCTTTCAACAGCTGAGTGAATAGTGCAATCCCAGATCGTTCTCACCTAGCACATCACAGGTATTTAATTAAAATTCTTGGATTAAATCATTACCATTCTAAACATTTATATGGTTATTACATCCTGATGAGCCCAATCCTCCCATTAAAACTCAGGGCAAATTCACCAGAACAGAAATAGAGGCTAAAATCTGCCTTTTCCTTGCTCTCTGTGTTGACAAAATATCCCCCACAGTCACCAGCAGAGGCTTCAGGACTGCAGGGTCCTGAGAAGACCCCACTCTCACCTGAGGGCAGCAGCATAACTCCGGCTCTGCCCCATCACCCTGCAGCACACAACAGTGAAGGCCAGTGTCCCCAGGCACTCTTGCAGGAAGCAGCAGTTACAGAAAAGCAGCAGCATTAAACGCATTCATTCCTTACTAGCCCTGTGACAGGGGAAAACCCACTTAATCTGTGTGAGATTCAGTTTCCTCACCTATGAAGTATGTCACCTGGGGAAATCTACTTACCCTGTCTGACATTCTAAGCGAAGGTAGTAACGGAGCCCATGGAACCCAAAACTGGCAGGTTGTCAGAATTACCTGGGAAACTATTTTAAAATAAAGATTCATCCAGACCTACTGAATCACAGCGAGAGGGAGGACAGGGATTCAGGATCTCTATTTTTTAATCAGGTAACCCTGATGATAACTTAAAACCAGTCAGATGTGGGGATACTGGACAATATTCTCGTTGAGGATATTAGGCCATATTCTCCCCCAATGATTCTGTTCCAGCCCCATGGTGGGCCCTCAATAACTATTTGTACTGAACAAATGAATACTATGAAGGAATTATCCAATCTTCCATCTAATACATCAGAACAAAACACCCAAACTACATAGCAAAACACGCCCTCTACTGTTTTACAAATGTGACCCCAGAACCAAGAGGCCTTTGGGGTCCATGTCCTGGACTGAGGGTTAGATGAAAACATTCTGTCCCCAGCTCACCACCAATTCCTGCAGAATTGCCAGAGCCTCTGCCCTCCTCTGTCCTCAGTCTCCACGTCTGAGACAACAGAAACTTAAAGAAGGTGAACCTCTAAAGACACTTCAGGGTCAAAATTCTGTGATTCATGTAAAAACGAGAAATGGGCAGATGAAAGCCCAGCTCCCAACCTGAAGTTTCAAGAAGGGGCTTGAATCATTTCACAGCATCATGACTTCTAAAAGAAACCTCTCCCCAGTGTGCCATGAGCGGCTCTATTCAAGTCCCAGATAAGCATTTGGAAGCATGGCTCCAGGTTTCCAGAAGGCAGTGAGCGTCGATGACTAATGACAGGCTGGAAAGTCAAGGGCTAACTTTTCTCACCTGGGTGATCTCATTACCACGGCGTGTGATCGGCCAGCCACTTGGACCTGCCGTTCTGATTCCCAATATCTCCAATTCTTCACAAGAAAGGACATCTCCTGCTTGCCCCAAAGCCTCTAAATAAGATACTTTAATCATGAAAACAAGTTCTACAAATCTCAAAAAATGCGTAAAACCTGATCTGGTTCAAGCTATGGAAGGGGAGAGAGTGTTAATGAAATCCTGCTGGGGGTAAACATCAGGCTGCCGATGTGCAGCTGGGAGAGAGAAGGGGCTTTTAGGCCCAGCTCTGATGTGAAACAACAGAATAACATTTGATCTTCCTGTACAGGGTGGGGGGGGGACCTTGTCTTACAATATGAAGGTCAAGCAGAAGACCCCTTCCAGCCCAAAATCTCGGGCTATTTGGCAACCAGAAGCCAAAGAAACAGCAAAGTGAGCAGAGAACAATTATAAAAAACCTGAGTGTGTAGGTCACATACAACAGAAGTCGGGGTACATGTAGGGGTAAATTCGGGATAACAACTGGGGCAGGGAAAGGATCTGAATAGATGCCTTGGGAACATAGCACGTTGCCCAGGAAGAACCAAGGAGGCTGGGTTTTCACAGCCTTCAAGCTCAGCTGTTGGCTAATCTTCTCTCAAAACACAAGACCATCACAGCCGAGGCGTTCCATTTGCAGGCAGAACAGGCTGCGTTCCATCCTCCAATATTGCAGTTTCTCCGCTAAATCAATCAAGGGCACTGAATGTGTTTTGTCATCAAGAATCAGGATCAAGCCTGGAGGTCAAGCAACTCAAGAAAACCGGTGCTTCGCTGAGCTATTACTTTCCATGCAGGGAGACCAGCCAGCTCCCACCCTTTCCAGAGAAATCTGTAATTAGCTTAAAAGAAACAAAAATAAAGTACTTTGCCATTGTCTGAGCATCATTACTCTGTTTTTAGCAGAATCCAAGCCACCCCCCACCCCTGCAGGTCAGATGTTTTGTTGACAGCGAAGTGAGAATAGAGAAAGGGAAGTAACAGCACCCGCAGTTGGAGACGCTGGCTTTGAGAACCCAAACGAGCCCGTCTCCCTCTCTGCCCATTCCACCGTCTAAAAATATGGCGGTGTTTGTGTATGTGCTTTTCACCTCCTATTGCATATCTTTCTATTTTATGTACAAATTTTTACACTGAACAACTAAGATTTTGGGAAGTACAAACAAACAATAATATTATTCCATTTTAAAAAGGAGTGACCCCTGAGTAGCATGGGGACTATGGTAAAAGATTTCTCTTATTGAATAAACTTCACCTACTATCCACACTTCTCCTTTCAGAATTGAGAATTTTTGCATAGCCTCAGCCTTAAACAGCCAGATGAGAAGGAAACACACAAGGAAGGGGACAGAAGTGGATCCTTCACCCCCGGCCCTTTCCTTCCCACTCTGGGGGCTGTTTTGCATAGGGTGGTGAAGAGCTGTCTGGGGACCCTAGAATTTGTAGCAAGGTGAGGAGTGATGGAGTTGGAAGGAAATGTGTCTCAGGCCCAGTCACCATTGGGCCCAGCTTGCAGCACGAGAGCCCTGACCCATCAGTCTGGAGGCCTGGTGCTCCCTGCTCCGAGCTTCACTGAACCAGACACCACTGTCCACAGCCCTTGTAGAGAAGGGACGAAAGCTAGTACCTTTCCCAGTCACGAGTTCATTAATGTGAGCCCTGTCTTCCTCCCCTAGAACCTGGAGGTAGAATCACTGGGATGTGGT